CTCCCCCTCCTCCTCCTCCCCCTCCTCCTCCTCCCCGTCCTCCTTCTCCTCTTCCTCCTCTTCCTCCTCCCCCTCCTCCTCCTCCTCCTCCTCCTCAGGGAATGGGAGGAAGGTAAAGTGCTGATCTTCGACGACTCCTTTGAGCACGAGGTGTGGCAGGATGCCGACAGCTACCGGCTCATCTTCATCGTGGACGTGTGGCACCCGGAGCTCACGGCCCACCAGCGCCAGAACCTGAGCCCCATCTAGACCAGGACCCGCCTCAGAGAACCTGAGCCCCATCTAGACCAGGACCCGCCTGAGACCGGTAGGAGCTCGACAGACTTACCGGAGCGGCCGGTTCTTCTTCTGCTGTGGATAAAAGAGACTGAGCTGCTGAAGGATGGAACCGCCGGACTGAAGGAAACGAATGAGTTACTACTGACTTTACAACCTGTCACCTAAACACACGCAGTACGTGTTCTAGTCCTGATCCACCCTCAGGGTTCTGGTCCAGGGTTCTGGTCCAGGGTTCTGGTCCAGGGTTCTGGTTCATCTTTGGCCCAGAACAGCTGGTTTCTGGTTTCTCTACGTGTAACAGAAAATAAACCTCCTTCAAAGAAACAAAACATTTCCACATCTAGAAAACACGCTTTGAACAGACTGCGAGAACCCTTTCCTTGTCTCCTCTCCTTGTCCTCCCCCCCCTCTCTTCACTTGATCTCCTCTCCTTGTTTCCTATCCTCTACTTGTCTCTTCTCCTTTCTTTGTCACTTCTCCTTGTTTACTCTTATCAGTTTGTTTCCTTTCCTTGTTTTCTCTCCTTTTTTGTCTCCTCTCCACATCTCCTCTCCTTGTCTCCTCTCCTTTCCTTCTCTCGTCTCCTCTCCCTTTTGTCTCCTCTCCTCATATCCTCTCCTTGTTTCCTCCCCTCTCCTCTCATTGTTGCCTCACTTCTCCTTGATTTTTCACCCTTTAACCAAAACACAAACATGCGGTACGTGTTCTAGTCCTGATCCACCCTCAGGGTTCTGGTCCTGGTCCAGGTTCTGGTTCTGGTTCTGGTCATGTGGTGGTTCAACGTGTATTTTCTAGATGTGGATATTATTTTATTGAAACGTAGAGAAACTAGAAAGCAGCTGTTGTGTTGAAAAGATAAATATTAAAAATAAAAACACTAAAATGTTCACTTTAAGACGTCTCTCTCAGTTTTCATGTTGTTGTTGTTGTTGTTGTTGTTGTTGTTGTTTATGAATCAGAAAGCCTTCATTTTTACCACTGATGAGTTTTTCTTTCATCACATTTGCACAGAAAACAAAGAAACACGATGTTACTAAAGATGATTTATATTTATATTAAAAATGAATAAAAACCACAAAAATAAAGTGTTTTTGTTTCTTTAAGAGTCCTTCTGGTTCTGTTTGATCCAGATTAACTGGTTCTCATCTGGTTCTGTTTGATCCAGATGAACTGGTTCTCTTCTGGTTCTCTTCTGGTTCTGTTTGATCCAGATTAACTGGTTCTCTTCTGGTTCTCTTCTGGTTCTGTTTGATCCAGATTAACTGGTTCTCATCTGGTTCTGTTTGATCCAGATGAACTGGTTCTCTTCTGGTTCTGTTTGATCCAGATGAACTGGTTCTCTTCTGGTTCTCATCTGGTTCCGTTTGATCCAGATGAACTGGTTCTCTTCTGGTTCTCTTCTGGTTCTGTTCAGATGAAACGCTTCAACAAAGATCACCAGAGGAGTTCACAGGTCTCCTCGTCTCCTTTCCTTGTTTGCTCTCCTTGTCTCCTCTCCTCGTCCCATCTCTCTCCTTGTTTCCTCTCTTCATCTCCTCTCCTTGCTTGCTCTCCATTGTTTTCTCTCCTCGTCTCCTCTCCACTCTTTTGCCTCTCTTCTCCTTGTCTCCTCCCTTTTCCTCGTCTACTGTCCTTGTTTCCTTTCCTCTTAGTCTCCCCATCTACTCTCCTTGTTTGCTCTCCTTGTTTCCTGTTTTATCTCCTCATTTACTCCCCTGTACTCCTCATCTCCTCTCCTTGCTTCCTCTCCTTGTGTCCTCTCATCTCTTTGTCTCCTCTTCTTGTCTCCTCCCCTCTTTTTGTCTCCTGTCCTTGGCTCCTCTCATTTCCTCCCCTTCTCATCGTTTCCTCTCCTTGTTTCCTCCTTGTCTCATCTCCTTGTTTTTTATCCTCGTCTCCACTTCTTGTCTCCCTGTTTTCTCTCCTCTCCTTGTCTCCTCTGCTCGTCTCATCTCCTTGTCTCCTCTCCTTGTCACCACCACGGTGAGTATTGTGCCTTTCAAAATAAAAGCCCACTACCCGGTGTGTTTGGTGTAAATGTTTATTGTCTACATTCATTAAAGTGAATACATTAGTAGAGTGAAGCCCTGAAGATGAGTCCGACATAAACAGTCCTGACAGACGTTAACCCGTCCAGATATTTTCAAAATAAAAGCCTCAACCTGCAAATGTTCTCACTTTCGCCACAAATGTGACGAGTTGTTGAATTTGAAACATTCTACGAAGATAATTAGACTTTAAATATCTAAATACGATCGGTTAAGTGTGTTCTATTTTTTGCAGTGTAATAATACTTTATTAACAATAATATACAATCTTTATAATAAGTTAATAAAAACAATCTTTCCCTTCGAGGTTAAAGGTGATAATTTGGCATCCTCTGGTTTCTTCTTCTTTTCTTCCACTCTGGTAGAACCGTTTGTTTTTTTTCATGCATGTGATCCCGTTTAAATTGATTTAGTGGCGACATGTACGGTGCTTTTATTTTGAAACTATTGTGCAAAGTAGCTGTGATTTGTTTAGTTTTTACATGAAAGAAAAAAGTTGAACTGATTCTACCAAAGTGAAGTTTGTTTTTCCTTTGAAGTGCTTTCTCTTTCAGATTATCGGGACGTGTTTTGATTCATACGTTGAGGAAACTAACTTCACAGTTTAGATTCACAGCAAAGATTCACGTTTCGTTTCACCAACAAGGATTCTCTTTAATCCCGAATTAAATCATGACTTGTGTTATAAAACTCAAACTTAAACTTAAACTAAACAAGATTCAAAAAAATAAATAAATAAATAAAGGCAGAAAATAAAGCCTGGTAAATAATATTTACAATAAACAGCTCTGAAGGTTAATCTGGTTCATCGTTTTGATCCAGAATCGACTGATTAAAGTTAAGTTAAGTTAAGTTAATCCTTGTTGGTGGAACCGGTTTGAAATGTTTAAATTCATCGTTTGTTCGTCTCTGAGGTTTAAATAAAGTTTCACTGATTGAACGTGATCGCGTTGTTTGAGACGGAAATAACAAAACTTGAAGTGTGTGTGTGTGTGTGTGTGTGTGTGTGTGTGTGTGTGTGTGTGTGTGTGTGTGTGTGTG